GACATGCTGTCACAACAACCACACTGTTTTCACTGACATGCTGTCACAACTACCACACTGTTTTCACTGACATGCTGTCACAACTGAGGCACTGTTTAAAACAAAATACTGTCACAGCTAAAAAAACTGCTTTACAGGGGCAGAAACTTGGTGGTTAGTTTAACACTACAAGGTATTTTATTACTCACTCTAAAACTCACTCTCACACACATCCACACTAAATCTTATAGAAGAAATTTTCTTTCATTACAGGAAGTGTCTTCATTTTCCCCTTCTACTACACCAGATCTGCAGAGATGTATATTCCAAAACCTACAAATATGGCTGCAGCTGTCAACACCAGTGCACTGCTGAATGTGTCCACTACTACCATTACTACTACTACTGCAAAAAAACCCACCAAGATCCCACCAGGAATGGAGCAGAATCCAGACTACTGCAACCCCACATTATATATGTATGCATTTGTTGCCACACTTATCATCTATGGTGTAGTAGTTTTGGTGGTTCTTCTATTTTGTTGTTGGTTGATTAAATTGGGAGCAACCAGGAAGTAGTAATAACATACCTTTTGAGATACCAGTTGTAGATCTTGCCAATGGCCCTCTGTCACATACCATATCACAGGGAGCACCATGTATATTGCCACATATCACCTTCATATATTATAACTTTTCTCAAGGAAAGCACTAGTGTGGTGCCAGCTAGTAGCCAAACTTGAGGTATGGCCTCTAGTCTACTCTAGGTATGGCCTCTAGTCTACTCTAGGTATGGCCTCTAGTCTACTCTTTCCATCTGTATGTCACAATGAACCTGGTTTCTTATAGGTACACAGATCAGAAATTGTTCAATCCTAAAAGCATAAGGGTAAACTTTTAGTACAAAATACTTCCCTTCATGCCAAATTCATCTACCTCATTTTCTTCATTCATTTTAAACACTATTTTCAAACTTTTTTGGAACATTTTGAAAGTTTTAGTTTTTCAGGAACAGGGTCCAAGACATTGATTCCTTCTCTGCTTGATGTAGATCAGTTATAAACTTATAGTGAAGACGAGAGGAGGGGAAAACAAAACAAACATTCCAAAAGTGATCTGTGATAGCTTCAGTATTTACTTTTTAACTGTAATTTTAGTGTCATTGCAGTGAGAATCAGGTTGTATATAATCATATGCATATAAAGTAGATGAAACGACTGCAGGATAGAATAAAATCAAGTAGGAAGTCAGTCAGTTTTAACACCTTAGTATTTAGTTCCTCATGAGTTGAGCACTGTCAATATGAAGAAGACTACATTATATATTTTGCATGTATATATGTGTGTGTGTGTTACACATTTAGAAAGTTGTCTTAGGCATAATTTTACCTGCTGCACACCAGGCTGGAAAAAACTTTTATTATGATTTTCAAACATGCAGCAATAACACAGACTGGTATATTAGTGTACTTTATTCAGAGATTTTAATGTTCATGAATTCCCCCCGATTTCGGGTGATTTTTTTGTTGGTTTGTGCATGTGCATTTTTACTGTACTTATACCATCCATTTTGTGGGTGAATTATGATATTGGATTGAATAGCATTGGACTAAGAAAAGTTCTTGATTTATTGAGATACCAAGTTTATTCACAATGAAATATAAACAATTCCAGTAATTTAAGTACCTGTACCCATTCAAAAAAATTGTAATATTTGGCAAGTATAAAAACTCAATTCTGACTCTCCATGGTCAACTCCAGCCTTACTTATATAGCACATTTTGCCAACTGAGGACTAATTGTTGATTGATCCTCACAACTCATTAGCATTCTATTGGCTAACAAAAAAGATATTTTCATTATATTGCTATTTTGTAATAATAGTAATGTGTTTATCAAAAAACGTTGTCAATGGTTTTCTAGCATTAAAATGTGATGAAAGACTATGGACTGCATCAAAAATAAAGAGCTTAACAAAAGCAAATGAATTGTCCTGTAATATCTTAATACATCCTTCATCAATTGCAGAAAAATATACCAAAAAATTCCACAATAAACTTCCCCCTATTTTAACTGGCTAGACTTCAAAAGATCAATTTGAAAAATAGAAATACACATTTTGGATTGCACTGTCACAAATTTATTGAAAACTAAAAAGTAAATAGAAAAATGTAATACCCCTTCAAAGTCGATACAAGCAAACTAAGGCTAATAAGTGTACAGACAAATGCAGTTTCTTTAAAAAAATTCTAAATAATCATTACACCAAAATAATAAAAACAAGACCAATACTTACACTGAGCAAAGCTATAACCCCCCTCCCCCCCTATGAATAATTTATGTAACATGTAGTGGGCTTCTGACAGTAATCTGCAGCACTTGGTATGGTTGTTAAATTTAACAATATGTATATATAACCCATAATGCTGGTAAAAATTTTAAAGCATTGCATGGGGTGTTTATATTTTTTGCACAGTGTATATTAAAAAAAGAAAAGAACAAAATACAAGTAAATGAAACAGTTTTAGCTTTAACGGGGTTACCAAGTTGACGAGAGAGCCAAAAGTTTTTTATTTATTAATTTGGGAGGGGGGGTGGATCTAAGGACAAATTGGATAATGTTAAGTTTCAAACTTGCCCAGAGTTCCAGAACAATTATTTACCAGAGTTTGCATCAAAATGGCAACACTGCTGCCCACTTATTGCAGTAAAAAGAAAAAGACCAAGTTCCCTGTCTGGCCATGCTGTCAGCCACTAGTGACACCAGGATGTGCAGACACTGTGGTCTCGGTACCTTATTACAAATATAGTAGCACCACAAATAAATTGTTGCATACTGAACTGGCACTGAACAAAATGCTGACCAGTGGAAGATAAGCTAGATACTTCATAAAATTATTTTATCTTTCATATCTAAATGAACATTAACTTCTGGTTAACACACTAAAAAAAAAAATAAAAACTTGNTTCCAGAACAATTATTTACCAGAGTTTGCATCAAAATGGCAACACTGCTGCCCACTTATTGCAGTAAAAAGAAAAAGACCAAGTTCCCTGTCTGGCCATGCTGTCAGCCACTAGTGACACCAGGATGTGCAGACACTGTGGTCTCGGTACCTTATTACAAATATAGTAGCACCACAAATAAATTGTTGCATACTGAACTGGCACTGAACAAAATGCTGACCAGTGGAAGATAAGCTAGATACTTCATAAAATTATTTTATCTTTCATATCTAAATGAACATTAACTTCTGGTTAACACACTAAAAAAAAAAATAAAAAAATAAAAAACTTGAATTGAAATTGAAAATATATAAATAAATGCCCTAATATTGCACAGGGCTCTTTTCTTTTCCACACTCATACACAACTATAAGTTATCAACTATTCTCTTCTCCATCTACAATATCTTTTGGCACCTTTATATTGTGACTCTATAAGTATACTGACAGTCAATGAAAACGCATAATTTATTTATCATTAATATTTTAAGTTCCTTTGGCACCTTAAGAAAATGACAGTTTTCATGTGAAATATGACCCATTATTCAGTCACACAAGGTGAAATAAAGGTCAGAAAAGATCATTAAAATGCAAGGTCACGTGATCAAATCTCTTTGGTTCCGCCCAGCCTCCAGCATCCCCAGGGCCCGCAGTCGCTCTTCCAGTGTCAGGCGTGGCATCACAAAACTTTTTTGTCATGTGTCACTGTCATACTGAATTTGGTGAATACCTTTAACAGGCTTAATTAATCACTATAGTTTGAACCTGACTAATTCACACCAATCACAAGACAGGAAAATCACATTTTTGTAACAGCTGATCACAAAATCCAAAGAAACGGAAATTTTAAACATCCTAGTGGTCAGCCCACTCTCTTATGACCAAACAAGTGCATTTGTACTCGTTTATATGGTTGGAATCAATTCTCGATACAAGAAAGTACAAGAAAGTTTTCTGATGCGTTTTCACTGACTGTCAGTATACATCTCTGCAATATATGAATAGCCATGCAGTAATGTAGAACTTACACATAAAAATATACGTAACTCTTTGAAGTTGCGATTCCAGGCATTTGACTAGAAAATTTTGATTATGACAAACCCTCCCATGCACATGCACCCGATACCTTCATAATATGAATAATGATGATAATGACAATTTAAAACATACACCCATGCCCTTCATCATGGAATACATCTTTAACCAAATACATATGCAAAAACATTGACCGATCATTGATCCATTTTGAGGCTCTTCAAGTCCCCATGGACAGTTTATGCCTGTGTGTTGTTTATCTTTTCAACATGTCTGGCTTCATGTGGTTGACAATGGGGTCCCTCTGCCTCTGGATCACCTGCAGGTGGGATTTATCCACTTTCTTCTGGTGTTCAAATATCAACATGGCCAGTTGTGAGCTGTTGGCCAGTCCCTCGGCACGGCTGCGCAGGCAGCGCTGGTACTGTTCCTGGGCAAGGACTGGGTTGCAGATACGCTGACGATAGCGGTGCTTCAGGGCAGGTTCCACAGCACGGAATATGTGCAATTTTTTCTCCTGCACAAAGAGCTCAAACAAGTCCATCCTGGCCAGTTCCTTACTCGTCTTATTAGAAGAACAACGGATAAAATCTGAGTTGTAAAAGCTGGCATGGTCAAATGAATGGACATCAAAATGACCAAAATTTCTGTTAATGTCAATCACAGTTGGGAAAGGCTTCTCCTCATAGATTAGGTTAGGTTTATATTGATAAAACCCCACAGGAAAGAACACCTGCCAGTTAGCTATGGTGTTCATCCTGACTCGATTCAGAAAGTCTATGGACAGTTCCATTCCTACAGTACACATCAACAGTATAGAGTCTGGCTTAAACTTTCTTGATATAGCCTCTATGATGGTCAGCTGTGTGGGGCTGCTGGTCCGTAGACTTAAAGAGGTTATCTTGGCTCCATTCTGATACTTGTTTTCATAGTATGTGATCATAGATTTCAGCACACTAAAGCTGTCATCTCCAGCCTCTGCTGGGTCGTAGATGAACACAATCAGGAGATCTGTGTTGTCGCCAGCATCCAGGCACGTGTGAGCATAGGAATCTAAAAAACTGACCACCCCATCGCGGTCACTGGCCATTATAGGTAAAATGAGATTGACTTTAGAATTCTCGGTTACATATGGCATAGGAATGATTTCAAGCAAGCTGAGAGGACGAACAAGATGGACCCTACGCTGGTAAATTTTATCGTTGTTTTCTGGTGATGATGTATCCTTTAATTCCAGGTCAAGTGTGTACTCCATGCCTCTGGAAGGGTCGAACCTGCGGTACCCATTGACCAGCCTGTGGTAGGTGAACCTGTTGTTGTGTTTCTGGTTCAGTTTTGTCATTGCTGTCTTCAGAATGTCGGCAACATCTTGCTTATCAATTCCTGGAAAGGATGAAAAGGTCAAATTAAATTAAGTTTATAAGTTTAGTACCCCTTTGTTTCTTATATTACTCCCCTTTTTATCACCCTGTAGTTAGGCAGAGTTTGGATTTCTGATTTAGGTCCATACATTTAGTGTAGAAATTTCACATACATTAGACATATATAATATGAGCCCTTATGTTACCTTTCAGTTCTTCCACAGTGCTGAAATCCCCCTTCAAATAGATGTGTTTCTCAGTGAAGTAATCCCAGCGCAGCACATCATATCTGTTCTTGGGACGAAATGGCTGCTGAACACCTGAAAATCAGCAGAATGTGTTCCATGTGACCAGACACTGAGAGTGTGTGTTAGACTGGACTAAACTGATTGATTCACGTGTGAGAACATTGCAGGGAATCAAATACTAAATGAAATTTTTGTCATATCACTGTAGTTTGCATTAACATGTATTGTGATTTTATGGGATTTGTCTTTGGATCACAAAAAGCTTAACCTACAGATTTATTAATCTCCAAAGGCCAAAAAAAATAGAATTTGAAATAAATAACTTACCAAATATTGAAAATAAATAAAATCATAAAAAATGATTGTAACCAATAAGCTTACCTACAGGCCAGCCAGCATGCTCATTAGGGTCGGGGGTCAACTGACTTATATTAATGATGGATTTCTGTAGAGCATCTATCTGCTGCTTTGTCTCATTATACTCCAACTGGCAGAAATACCTGAGACACAATGATTCACAATACATGTAAATAATCTTATACCACCATGGCTTTAGATAAAATCATTTACTGGCTTTTAAGCTGGTTGTTTTGTCTGCTAAATTTATAGAAGTATTTACTAACTTACTGGACCAGTGTGACATCCACTCAATATCCATTATGTATAGAAAGCATTCTAAGAACACGATGAAGTATCTGCACACTTCTGTGTACAACAAATACTGCTTAAAAATATTAACCATAACAAGTCTTAAACTGATGTAAATCAGTACCTGTGTAGTTTGTACATGGTGATATCATCCTGCACTGTGCTTACAGTAAGAGCTTTGTTAAATGAGTCCGTTTTTCTCAGGTCATCTATTTCTTTGTCAAAATCCAAATCTTTATTAGCCACATATCTATATTCTTTACCCTGGAAATATAACAGATTGTTCAAGATATAACTAAGTGACTTTATAACAGGGCAGATATGTTCAAGCACATTCTTGTCAGTAAGTGATACAATGACCTTCTACTGGGAGTGACATTGGTAATTCACACCCCTGAATGAATTCATTGCTGCTCAACTGCAAACAGGTTATTTACAATTTCAGAAAATCATTCTGCAGAATTTCTGGATTTCTTTTTTGCAACTGCCATAAAATGTCCTTTTTCCCTTTTACCCTGTGTAAGAACACTGCCCATTGAGTACAAGCAATTCATTTCTATAACCATACACTAGTAGTAATTGTGGAGTGGACTTACCAGTATCTGTGCTGTACACTTCTGGTCAGTGGAGTGGATGATACACCTGCCCAGGTTGTCTGCGTGTTCAGAGGCCAGTGCATTCTGTGCACACCACTCCAGGTTGTCGACCACACTGCTCAGCACCGACTGAAACACAGGGAAATAAACATGTCACTTCTCATTCCTTAAAGCAATAATAACTCTTCGTTTCGGCCAAAAAATGAATTTTCCTGGAGTAAACAACAATTTTCCCATGCTTACCAATGGTAAATGAATCCATTTTTACATTCAAAGTTAGTCCCTGGTTTTTTTCTAAAAAGTTTAGTTTTTTGTTAAAATCTCTTAAGAGATTTTAACAGAGTATAGACATCAATGGAGGTCACGTGGTCTGAAGACAAGTTCAAATATCAGAATAAAAGCTATAACTGCTGTTTTTATGGCAAAACAGAATATATTATATTTCTATGAGTTATTCACAAGGTTTTTATTGTGAAATATAGGTCTCATACAAAGAGTTATTATGCCTTTAAGTCTACACACATAATTTTAGGCTGCTTCCAACACCAATATTTTAATGTAAAATGAGTCTTTTTTTCAATTTGGCAATTTGCTTGTACCCACCCCTATAAACATCAGTGAGTTAAGACACTAAGTTTGTACCAGCCCCTATAAAGAGCCAGGTGTTATGGAATCAGCACAGCTGATTGACTGAGGCATCTCTACCTGTACCAAATATCTTTAAAGTGCTATCAACTTGTCTTTCTCCTAGATGACTGAAACAGTTTTCAATACAAGCAGAGCACTCAGCCTTTAACTGTGTACTTTACAATACTGAGAACAATGACATGATACATTTATATTGTTGCCAGTCCTGGAGACCTCTTTAAGAACAAATATTGACTTCACATGCTAAGTACTCTCTTATAAAAAGCTGATACCTATCAAGGGTTCCGCCCAAGACATTAAATGTTAAGGCACTACAGTGCTGTGGATATTTCAACTTCATTTCCCCTTTTCATTTTATTCAACTGGTAAGAGATATCTGTGCAAGAGGCTACGAGTAGAATTGCAAAAAAAAAAAAAAAAATTCCAAAATCATTTTTTTCTCTTCTGTAATAAATCAAAATTAGAATCATGTACAGTGGTTATAATCTATTTCCTAGCCCTCAGTAAATAATTAAAAAAGTTAAACTACAAATCAACTTATTTCTCCTGTAGTTTAAACTAGCCACACACCTGTGAGATTACCACTCCAGCAGCCAGGCTACAGAACACATGCTGTGGGTCAAGCTGACCTATAGGCTGACCAAGGTGGACATGGAGACTCATACTGATATCACTGACAAAACTCAACACCTTCTCACCGCGGACATATGTCTTGTCAGGTATAAACATGTAGTAATCAAAATTGTTCCCATAATGATCATAGACATATTTCAACATGTGAAAAGGCTTCAGCTTTGTGCGTCCGTCTGGGAAACTGACGATGGCCATTCCAGTTGGTATTTTAGGTCCTCTTCTATCCATAAAGAATACAAGTTTTGGCACGTAATGTGCAAGTGTTTTGTTTACCGCTACACCAAGAGAGTTGATGCTGTCTTTTGTGGTGATAACTCCAACAAATAGTTTCTCTCTGATGCCAAGTTCGGTGCTGGCATATCTTGGTCGAATTAATCTTCTTGGTCCATTTGCAGCAACAGCGTGTTCCTCGTGAGGTCTTAATTTTGGTTCAAAGTCATCTGAATTGCTGTAATCGAAATTAAGTTTTTCATTTAACGATCTGCCAGGACCAAGATGATCCGATTTAGCAGAATGTGGGAATTTTTCCATCTGACCCCCATGCAGATCGCAGCTTTCGTCAAAAGCTGGGGCAAATAAAAGACTGAAAAATATGCCCAAACACAAACCTCCTGTGATAGGCATCATGGCCTTCAAACAATGCAGAGCCTTCCTTACCACCATGGTGCTGATCGAAGGAATGATCTGAAATAAACACCCGGGTTCACTTGATGAATTTTGATGCGAGATCTAGCCTTCCATCTTGAAAAATTCCCGTCATGCACCTAATCTCATTTTTTCTCGTGAAACATCCAATAATCCAAGATGGCGCAGCAGGTAATGTTCCAGTCGTGCAAATTTTTGCTTAATTTTAGATAGATTTCGTGAATGATATAATATATGAAGAAAATATTTTACTTCATTTGGGAATTTATTTACAATTAAGTTCTACTGTCAGCCAAAAACCTGTTGGTTTTAAGAAACGGCCCCTTACTATCTGCCGGCTTATTGAGCTAAGTCATCTTCTTTTCGGACCGCTTCTTTTCTTCTCACTTTCCAGTTAATGTAACCGTTTTTGTTATTAGTCACAGTTTGCCATGTAATTATTCCGCAGAGCCGTGAGAGCTTTTAGGACTATATGCTACATATGACTTCACTGCAAGTTTAAGTCTCTGAGTAAATACCACCAGGCAGATTTTATTATCGGACCATAAAGTTGCCAGCATTCTGTCACTGACGCGATTAGGAATCACAGATACTGAATGAAAAAGAATCATTCAACCAGCAAAGCAATATATTATCTCAGTATTCAAAATACAATGGCTTGTGCTGCCAAGAATATTAAAGATTCAAGAACTTGATTTGTTCCAACTGTTGTTCAAAAGAGCCATCCACACATGATGCAAAATTGCTGATACTGTTATGGCACATTGTATAACAATCCCCCTATCCCTCTGAAATCACCTAACCCATATATGATATAGAATACTGTTCACAATAATTCTTCCTGGGCTTAAATGTTATTGTTTCTGTCTGAGTTACATGCAGACGACTATTTAGCATTAGAATTTGTGTGGCTAGCAGATAAATCCTAGGCCGTACTCGCAACCATAGTTGATCCGCATACAATCAGATGCGCAGATCAAATATGGCTGACCCTCTTGAAAGCTTACTGTGTAATCCCTGCAAGGAATCAATTTGTTGTCTATTATGAAGGGATAATGTTACTCACTACTCTGTTGATGGAAAAACTGGTTGGCTTCAACGGAGTGTTGGGTTAAGTAGATGAGAGTGAAAATAAAGATTTAAGAGTTCCTGCACCACAATGGAATGCATGCATAAACTGGTAGTCATTCTATAATTTTTGGCACCCATATCTTTCATGTGTTAGCATAGCAATTTTTGTCAGACTGTATACAGAAGTGCTAATGCTGGAAAATTTGTGCTAGTAGGCAAAGTGAACACCTAAATGTTGAAAACGTGAGGATATGAAACTCATGATCAATGTCTTGGATGTTAGGATGCATGGAGGAAAGCTTTAATTTGTCTGATTTTTTTTCTTCAGAAAATGGAAGTGGATGGTCTAAACAATGTTAGCCATGAAGGGATCAAACAGTATTATGTTGGGAAAATTGAAGAATTACAGGTATTTATATTTTAAAGCTGTTTGTTTTATTTTTTCTGAAAATTAACTTTATGTTTATCATGGTTGCTGAAGAGGTCTCTTAATTTGTTTGTAAAAAAAAGGTTTAAAAAATAACAGTGGTGTAATTTGTGGCATTTAGACAAATTGTTATAAAAACAATGATTAATTTTTCTAAAAAAGATGAATTTGCATTTGTGACAAATTTTTTTTTAGGTTGTTTAAACAATGTATGCATATTAGGTCATTTACAATTCTGAAGATGGACATGATAAGTTTTCTGACTCTTTTGTTCAGAATATTTAAATATTTGATAAGCTTAACATGGATTTAATTTGCTGAAAGGGTTTTAATTGAAGACCTTGAACCACAAATACATGCCTGTTATTACTTCAAGCAGGGTACCTTTAATAGTTTTGCAATGGCAAGGTACTCTAATGGTTTTTTATTACTCTAATTTCAGCAAACTGTTACAGAAAAAACACAGAATTTAAGAAGATTAGAAGCACAAAGAAATGAACTCAATGCAAAAGGTGTGTTTCAATTTCAGGTAGTATCATTTTTTAAAATTTAGTTTTGAATCAACTGTTTTCTGGAAATCTATCATGGCAGTCTGATTATTGTGCTTAAATTGATAATTAAGTTTGTATTCTTTGTGAGAAAGGAAATCCAATTTGCTTTCAGTGCGAATGTTACGTGAAGAACTTCAGCTTCTCCAGGAACAAGGCTCATATGTTGGAGAGGTAGTCAAGGCAATGGACAAAAAGAAAGTTCTAGTAAAAGTACGTGCCATTTTCATATTGTTGTTTTGGTCTGATGTTCATGTTAATACTTAGTTTAGTACTTAGTATTGAAAGCAATATGGTGGCATTTGATGAGGTTTAGTTGCAGCGATTTGACAACTGGCTTCCTATGCATTTTTATGTACAGACACAGATGTGTCTGTANTTTATTTTTCTAAAAAAGATGAATTTGCATTTGTGACAAATTTTTTTTTAGGTTGTTTAAACAATGTATGCATATTAGGTCATTTACAATTCTGAAGATGGACATGATAAGTTTTCTGACTCTTTTGTTCAGAATATTTAAATATTTGATAAGCTTAACATGGATTTAATTTGCTGAAAGGGTTTTAATTGAAGACCTTGAACCACAAATACATGCCTGTTATTACTTCAAGCAGGGTACCTATAATAGTTTTGCAATGGCAAGGTACTCTAATGGTTTCTTATTACTCTAATTTCAGCAAACTGTTACAGAAAAAACACAGAATTTAAGAAGATTAGAAGCACAAAGAAATGAACTCAATGCAAAAGGTGTGTTTCAATTTCAGGTAGTATCATTTTTTAAAATTGAGTTTTGAATCAACTGTTTTCTGGAAATCTATCATGGCAGTCTGATTATTGTGCTTAAATTGATAATTAAGTTTGTATTCTTTGTGAGAAAGGAAATCCAATTTACTTTCAGTGCGAATGTTACGTGAAGAACTTCAGCTTCTCCAGGAACAAGGCTCATATGTTGGAGAGGTAGTCAAGGCAATGGACAAAAAGAAAGTTCTAGTAAAAGTAAGTGCCATTTTCATATTGTTGTTTTGGTCTGATGTTCATGTTAATACTTAGTTTAGTACTTAGTATTGAAAGCAATATGGTGGCATTTGATGAGGTTTAGTTGCAGCGATTTGACAACTGGCTTCCTATGCATTTTTAAGAATATTCTTTTAAACAAATAAGGATTGCAATTCAGTCCAATTTAATAACTCAGTTTATATTACTTTTTCAGATTTTGAGAACAGTTCTCATTACATTCTCTTCTTCAGATCCAAAAGGCAGTTTTGTTGATAAATAAGATGAGAATGATTTGATTGTATCTTCCTTCCTCAGGTCCATCCAGAAGGCAAGTTTGTGGTTGACTTGGACAAGAACATAGACATCAATGATGTCACTCCTAATCTCAGAGTGGCCCTAAGGAATGACAGCTACACACTGCACAAAATACTGCCAAATAAAGTAAGTCTTTTGTGTATAGTAGACTGGTATAAATGTGAAATATGGAAGATTTACTCATAAAAAGTAGAGCTATCAGCTTCAAAAAAAAAAAAAAAAACAGAAACCATATTTCACATTTTGAGTCCCCAAAGAAGGCAGCAAGCTGAAAAACTGACATTGTACCAGACACAGTAGATCTTTATATATGCATTTAAATCTAACTAATATATTTCTTATATACAAAATCTACACAGTGATTTATGACAAATCTTCAAAGCTTCTTGTGTACAAATGAAAGCTATTTTGGCACTATAATAAACAGCACAGATTATGATCTTAAATCAGCGAATATAATAATATAATATGACATCATTGCGACACGTAACATTAATCAATGATGTAATTGCCTTCTTTTTACTAATCAGAGATAAGGAAACATTACATATCAGACACCAGCAATGATGCAACTTCAGTGTTATTTTGGATGACTTGAAAATATTGAGCAGAATTTTTCCAGAAATGCTTCTGTGGATTTCCTCATAATAATAAGTAATCAGCATTGGCTTGACCAAGAGCAAGACAGAATGGGAAGATCACTTTCATCACAGGGTTAATTTCACTTTACTTTGTGTTTCCAGGTAGATCCATTAGTGAGCCTTATGATGGTGGAAAAAGTCCCAGACTCCACTTACGAGATGGTAGGAGGTCTGGATAAACAAATAAAGGAGATCAAGGAAGTAATAGAGCTGCCAGTCAAACATCCTGAACTGTTTGATGCATTAGGAATAGCTCAACCAAAGGTGATTGTTGTACATGTTACTTATGGTTGCATGAAAACTCCAGATCTGTAATAGGAGTTTTTGCGCTTTAAGACATGTAGAAATACGTGCAAATCCTGGAAATATAAGTCATATTTCCTTTTGGACAAATTACGACACATGAAGATACTAATCAGAATATACCATAATTTGCAAATTTGGTAACAAAACACTGGCACTGATGTATATGTTGCAGCAAGTTCAACAGTGATTTGGTCAATTTCAGGGTGTGTTGCTGTATGGTCCTCCTGGCACTGGGAAGACATTACTAGCACGTGCCGTAGCTCACCACACAGACTGTACCTTCATCCGCGTGTCAGGGTCTGAGCTGGTCCAGAAGTTTATTGGTGAAGGGGCCAGGATGGTGCGAGAACTGTTTGTCATGGCAAGGTGATTTAATGAGAGATATTCATATTCTTTATTTGTATGTTTGTTTTTAAATTTAGTTGGATGTTGTAGGAAAGTGTTAAAATTACAGCCATGTTAGCATTCTAGGATCAGTTGTAGGATCATTCTAGGATCAGTTCTAGGTGTTTAGTAATACTAGAAGGCCTGTGTCCTTGCTATGCATGATAACTGAACACAATGATAATCAAGAAGCCTTGCAACTGTTTATTTCAGAGAGCATGCTCCATCTATCATCTTCATGGATGAGGTGGATTCCATTGGTTCCACACGTCTTGAGGGCGGGTCAGGAGGGGACAGTGAGGTCCAGAGAACCATGTTGGAGCTGCTAAATCAGCTGGATGGTTTTGAACCAAAGCAAAACATCAAGGTAAGATAGAATGAAAAGACATCAAGAACTGGAATATAGAAACCTATGACTGAAGTCTTAAAGGTTAACATGCAGTAGAGCAATGATTGTTTTAATGCAGTTTTATCACCTTGTGTGTGTTTGGTTGGACAGTGTGAATGACTTAGCAGAGCATATAGATATTCTTTGAAAGAATTTTTTTGTGGTCTCTAGATAGGGTGATTAAATAGAATTATTTGTTACTTAGAGACTACATACCATCAGTCCAGCATGATGGGTTGGTCAAGCTGGAGCAAAGTCCATAGGTGGTGGACAGAAACGTCCTGTTTGACTAATGTTATTTAGTCTGACTCTTAGTAAAGAATTCCATTTTATTATATGGATCTTGGCGTCCTTGATTTTTTTATGGTGGAACATATTTGTTTTTGTAGATGTGGCAAGATGTTTATTGTGAAAGTTGTCATGTGCTTTCATGGTGATCTTTCAGGTGATTATGGCTACAAACAGAATTGACATCCTAGATTCTGCCTTGTTACGACCAGGGAGGATAGACAGGAAGATTGAATTTCCAGCTCCAAATGAAGAGGTAGGGGAGAGGTCTAGAGCCCAGGAGCAACTCTGAAAGATTTCGCTGGAAGATGGCATTTAATGCTGTATTCTTATTATTGTAACCAAAAAAGGGGATAACAAATCTGTTTAGCTATAGTCATTGCATAGCTGAGTGGATGAACAATAGAAGTATGGTGCTCATGGGAAAAAGGACATAAATGTGTATAATCTTAGACACTTAAAATGTATCAAGTGGGTTTTTATGTTCCACTCAAATACCAACACATTGTTGTTTATATTTAAGACAATTTTCAAGAGTGTTAACAACAACATTTTAATATCAACCAATTACAGGCACGCTGCGACATTCTAAAGATCCATTCCCGCAAGATGAACCTGACCCGAGGCATCAACCTTCGTAAGATAGCGGAGATGATGCCTGGTGCCTCAGGGGCGGAGGTGAAAGGGGTGTGTACAGAGGCAGGCATGTATGCTCTCAGAGAGAGGAGAGTCCATGTGACACAGGAAGACTTTGAGTTGGCTGTAGCCAAGGTGAGCAGTTCAGAGATGGTTTATTTGTGCTGTTGTTATTCCACATATTATTTTAAACATTAAATGATTAAAGGGATAATAACTCTTCGTTTTGGCCAAAAAAATGAATTTTCATGGAGTACACAACAATTTTCCCATATTTGGTTAATGAATCCATTTTTACATTCAAAGTTAGTCCGTTTTTTTTTATAAAAAGTTTGTTTTTAGAATGTTTTGTGCATTCATTTTCTTTCCCTTTGTAGCATAGAAAGGTTCTTTGCTGTCTGATATCAGATGTGTAATTTTATCTCTTCCAGGTCATGCAGAAAGATTCTGAAAAGAATATGTCCATTAAGAAACTCTGGAAGTAAAGAAGAGACGGAAAATGAGATGCCTAAGTTGTACAACAGCAACAGAATAGTAAAGAACGTCTGTGAAGATTTCCAATTTACAAGCAGACTTGTACAGTCCGTTTTACTTCTTCAGGATTCATTGTAAAAACCTCCACTGTGTTCACGTCTGTGCAGAGGGCAGTGTGGGTCTAGTTGGACATATAGAGGAGGGCTGTTCATGCATACATTAATGCTGTACAACTAGACGGGACTTTGGATAGGATAGCAGCAGGTTTTGTAATACTGTCAACAAGGGGCATACAAGGAGGAAAATATTTATGTAATTTTGTAAGACTTAATACTGTGTTTTCTGGGTGAAATCGTAGCAATTTTGTCAATCCAAGGGAAGGACTTGTGAGCTAAACAACTGTTGTTTATATGATGCTAATTGTAAAGATACAGCACCCATGAATAAAATGTATAATTGTAAGGAGAGTGCTGTTGTTGTATGTAGTTGACCTGACCTCCAGTTAGTTTAGGATATTACCAAATTCAACAGACATGGGGAAAAGTTTGTAGGTACTCTAGGTCTGTAGGACCCACGCTGCAAGAAATCTACAGGTTCTGGCAATTATGTGCTGGTCCAAAATAAGAATTTTGTCCGTAATTCTTTTACATTGTGAATAATTTTAATGTATTTTCACAAAAACCTTGCCAGTCCAGAGAACCTGCAATATCAAACATTGTGCAGGTCTTCTGCATTTAGTGTGGTCATGATGTGTGAAAATTCTCACAGGTTATTTCAGTTAACCTCATCCAGATGTTACCAAATTCCCCTGAGATTATTCCCACTTTCAGTTGATCTCTTCCAGTTTGTTCAGTTGCTGTTAGACATATTACACATTGTCCAACATTAGATACAAATGTTAATGACATTTTAAAAATACTAAATCTCCATGGTAGAAAATTTGATTTTTATTCTCTATAATCTTTTTTTTAATGTAAAATTCTATTTTGTAACAAATCTCTGACCATTTATTAACAAACAAAATCTTTATATCTGAAGTGGGATGAGTAAGACAAAACTGAGAGGACCTTCCATCTTTAAACCCTGCAAAGAAATTGTCAGTTCATGATCATGGCTAGTATTTGTATTTGCGTCCTTAAGTATGGTAAAAAAAAAAAAGGAAAATTAAAAACATCCTGAAGTCTAATCTTTGTAATCTGGTTGAGAAGGGGACTACAAGAAACCATAAAAATTATAATCATAGTTGCATGCCCAATATTACATTCAGTTTGACAGCGTGAGATATTTATCTAGCTTGTAGTCTGTTAGTCTGTCTGTCTTAGTCCTATAAAGCTGACAAATGAAGACAAATCAGTTTAGGCTGCTGTGCTTACGATTCCTGCAAGGCCTATTTGCACTATTAACCAACACCAGTACCTTCTAAACAAAGACTAACTGTTCATGTTTAATGCATTCTCAACTTTGTTGTTGATAAACTACCATTAAGTGTCAAGTGTTTGTTTTATTATTTTCAGGATACAATGCCACTGATTGAAAGTTGCCATATTCTAAGCAATTACTGAACCTGCATGAACATTTATGAGTAAAAAAATGACAAGATCCAACAGACAGATTTATATTAGTTTATATTTATCTGCTTTGGCATATCCATCTTTTTTTAACTGCTTATGTATGAACAGGGTCAAAATATTTAGAGTGTAACACAGCAAATGAAAAAGGTAAAACATCTACCACTGAATATATGCTAATTTTCTTACAAAAACACCAATATAAACAACAGTCAGCTAATATTCACATGGTTACATCATCATGAATGGAAAATAATATAATCCTTTTAGACTGAGAGCACATGCTTTCTCCTAGTCTTCAGGTCTGCCAAGCTCGATGCTATTCTTTGCACATCAAGAGGATATGGTGTTTCAGTTAAACTTGCTGTTGCATAGCAACTCGTCTCAGGCTCTCACCTTCCACAGTGTCAAATACATTATCAATGAAATATTCAACCTTCAAGGCAAAGTCAACCAAGTCACTGTCCCTGCTCCAATCCTCAGCATGCAACACATACTTTAAAAGTCTTCATATTTCATGATTGTTTAAAATAACCAAAATATCAGTTTCAGATGAATAAGTTAGTGTAGTTATTATCCTTCCCCCAACACTCAGGTTGTAGAGGAGGTTGTTCACCATGGGCAGTGCTATGCCTGCAGACCACTGTCTCTTCTCTCTCTGACAGATAACACAGTATCTCTGGGGGACATCCCTCACTGCAGAACTAAACCAACCTGAAATAATGCCAAAGAAGGGATTTACCTTTTTCTGAAAACCATTTTAGCTTCTTCTGCCTGAACAAATATGAGAATTTCCAATGATTTGTGCAAGTGGGTTACAATATTAAGTGTTGCCCCATCCCCCATAATCTGTGGCTTTACCACATCAGAAACCTGAGATTATATTATCTACCCTGAAGTGATGCAACCAACAAAACAGTCAAACTTCAACGAACAATCCTGACCCTAGTGTTTTCTTATCAACTATTTAGTCTGCATATTTATTGTTGTTCTAGTCACCTGTTCAGAGTTCATTGAAGGGCACATCCAGTTATACAGATAATATTGTAGATTGCCATCTCCAATGCCAAACTTGAGCTTTTCCAGGAATTCTTTGTTCTCCATCAAATCCAAGGCATTGAACACATCAAATCCCATCTGAAATAGAACAAATGCTTATGCCATGGTGTACAACCTGTCAAATCCCATATGAAATAGAGCACATACTTACAGCCTGGTGTACAACCTGTCAAATCCCATATGAAATAGAGCACATACTTACAGCCTGGTGTACAACCTGTCAAATCCCATTAGACAATTCTCCAAAAGACAAGTATTTTACAAAATATGATTTTCATTTGGTCAAATGGACCTTAGAGCACATTTAGAACAGATGATCCGCGGACTAAATATGGCCAACTCCACATCAAAGGAAGGTGCTTAATCCCTTGATGGTCTCACGGCCTCCACATGTACCATTAAATGGATAAAATCTTGGCTCCGAGGTTAAATTGCTACACCCCTGCAGGGACGGCATGTATGGAGTCGGGGGAGACCATCAAGGGATTATAAGTGGCTACCACTGATCTGGGTCAGCCATATCTGATCTGCAGACCTGTTAGTCCACGGATCAACTTGTTCTGAATGTACTCTTCATCACTGCAGGACACACTGGAGTTCCTCAGTCTAATTATAGTGCCATATAAAGCCAGTGTAACTGCTGTAGTACTGCTTACCACCCTTCACACTGGGACTGTCTTCTCAACTGACCACAGCTCTATCATGGTACAATAAGACTACAAACATCTGAAATGGTATCTGAGCAGGTCAACATATGTCAGATGTAGCACACTCACATTTTTGGCCACAATGAGTGCGTCCTGCATGAGGTCCACCCACGGGGTCTTAGTGCTGACGTTGTAGAAAGAGTACGCTGCTTTCAGGAACTTATGAGAGGAGTGGTGCATCACTGTGGAGGGCAGAGTGTAAAAACTCACAAAGTCTGTGATTACACCATTATTCTGGAAAATCAGATAAAGTCCAATGAATAGCTAGACAAAAGAAGTCTTTTAAAGCTGACAAAAATTTTACAGGGCAAAACTAACTCTTGACTGACACAGAAGATCAGTTTATTGCCAACCTGTTCCCAATGTGCAAATACAAAGTTGGATGTTCACTCCAACAGTTCAATACTTTTAATATTAAAATATTTTTCTATTATGCAACTTGTTTTAATAACATGTATCTATTTAATAATCAATTTTATCTAAGATGGCCTCTGTGATATAAACATGTTGATCCTCAATCAGAAGACCTATGAGAGTTATCTGGGTTGTTAGCTAGGTGATCCAAATTCCTGGTTGGTTCATGTCAACTTGTGAGTTGTGTCTTCTCACCTCTCAGTGTGGCCTGATAGGAATCAGGGGGCCCTTACCTCCACAACATAACTGTCAATGATATTTGTCCGCGGAATGAACCAGTGGCGAAATTCTTCCTCTGAGAACACAGGGGCAAGGTCAAACCTGGTTAAATACTGGAAATGGAATTAAGAAAGAAACTGCAATCTTGGCACTTCAAAATACAGCAGACAGCAATAATACTTCCCTATAAATGATACAGTAGATCTTTTTCTTTTCATTCTCATCAAGATAAATAACTGTCATTCCTAAAATGCTAACAAGAAAGTATAACAATGTTCTGGGATGTCACATCCTTTACAATCAGTAAAGTCACAGCTTTGATAATTGGTGCAGTCACATCTTTAAAAATCAGTGCTGTCACATCAAAACATAACCTGTGCCTAGGGTCCATGATGACAACCAAGTCTCACATCACTTACAACCATACTGAACACTGTCACAATCCCAGAGCTGTAAAACCTAACACTATGACATAACACTAAACAGTTAACTCACTTTGACCATCAGCTTGAAGGCATCTCCCACGTCTGCTGGTGTGAATGGCCTGAAACCCTTGGTTTTTGGAGACTGAAATACAGAGGGATATTCTAAATCAAGATCACATTGTTTCATTAATTTCTCAATCAGATTTATATTCTATAAATAGTTGATTTCTATAAAGTTACCACAAAGGATCATGATCATGACCACTATAAGTCAACTTAAACTTACATATGAAGCGAGCATAGATTACCTTTAACGCATATTAATCACTACTTCTAAATTTCTAATACAGCTTAAATAAAATCTAAATGTCAACGAATAAACCAAATTAATCGCTGGTCATAAAAAAAAACCAAACTTCTAAATGTAAATTTGATCAATTTATCCTTCCGTCCAGTAAGATTAAGTCTGTCAAATAACATAGTTATGTATGACACATTACTGTTGCACGCACAACAGCATAATTATTCAAATGAGAGATGAAAAAACAACCAAAGGTTGTATATACAGCACGTAAAGAAAGAACAAAATACCTATTCAAATATAATTTTCTGGGAAATATGAAACGACAACCTTTGGTATATCTATGTTATATGGTGGTATTTGTCTGGTTAAGTGGAAATTATTTGACATGTCACAACTTTAAATGCATCTTAAAAGTTGACAAATTCAAAGAGTGTCCTATAAGACTGTTATCATATCTATTTTAGTGGTCCTGTTGCCACATATTCACATCTGTGTCATGCCAGTGGCCGTGTGTTGGTAGTATCATATCTATTTTAGTGGTCTTGTTGCCACGTATTCACATCTGTGTCACACCAGTGGTTTTGTGTCGGTAGAATCAGAACACGAAATAGAACTTGCTGCCACTTCTGTTCTTACTTATTCAGTTCAAGAGAGTTTAGATAACAATTGTTTTTTTAAAAGTCATATGAAAACAGGAAAAACTTAATAAAGGAAAAAATAGAGAGGAGAAATCCTATGATGTGACTCATTCACACAAAAGTGGTATTTACTTCCCTGGGAGCCTGGAAACATACAGCATTCAGTGCACAACACTTACATCAGGTAATTTATAAAGTTTGAGAGTCCTCTGCATGGTCATATTTCTACTGAGATGGGAGAATTTCACTTCTATCAGCTTCCTTGGGTTCAAAGACCTGTGCCAATATCTGGAATGTGGACAATATTATATGTGAGAAGGTTCTATATGACTGTTTGATCTGATACATAGCAGAATTTATTCAGCATGTAAGACATGCTTTGTTTGTATTGAACTATAATCATAGTGAAATGAAATGAGATCATCAAGTGCATGCCTGTAGCCAGCAATTTCAGTGGACCTTGAAAAAGTGGACCTTTTACAATGGAACCTTTGTGTACTTAGATCAAATTTTACCCAGAATGGACCTTTTTTGGACAAAAAGGGCTGTTCTTTTGAACCCCCAGAACCCCCCAGCTATGAGACTGAGATGCTTTCAATGTTGAGGAAAATGTTATAAGACAAATGTTGACTATTTTTGTCAAGAGATATACTAATCTAAACTCAGCATGTATGATTCCTGGATCTACTGCCTTTACCCTAATGGCTCTGGGTAAAAAGTCTGTGAAACAAACATTCCTGATGGGAAAATAGTTTGTTATATCACATGGCACACCAGTCAATATTGGCATCATGGCTTGCAGTAGTAAACATTAATTTAGTCTAAGTAAGGCTTAAGCAGTATACCTGAACTGTGGGTGATGTGCATGGCTAAATTGCAGTGAGCCTCAGTAATCATTATTCCAAGAATCAAAAACACAAAAGAACCACAGATTAACATGACTATATAGACACATAGGTTTATATGCTACACCACCTAGCTAGCAGTGAGGAACAACATCTACTCACATCAATCTGAAGGTCTCCAATTAACCATAAACTGTGAGAAAATATTCCAGCTTGTGCCAAATAATTAGTACTTATGATTCAACTACCAAGCTAATGAACATTTCTTTCTCAGATGAACATGTAGTTTCCCACCCTGTCCCTAGCTCCATGGAGCTGTGTGTGATGTTACCTGCAGGTCCCCACTGGTTTGGGTAGCACCACTCCCGCTGTGTAAACAGCCTGAAACAGGCCCTGCATGTGCACACGCCGCGTGATCTCACGTATAAGAACAGGGGCCACACGTTTAGAGCGCAGCTTCTTGTGTACGCAGAGGAAGTTGATTTCCACCATCTTCCTGTCACTAATGTAAAAAAGTAAAATGATTTCTACATATGTTACTGTTTCAAGTTGATAAAATTATGCTTTTAGAGACATATTACATACAAACCAATAGAAAAGACTAAAAGCCTTAGGAAGAGAGGTGCTAGAGGAGGTAAGATTACCCCCATAAACACACAAAGACATTTAATTTATATGTTGTTAGGATCCAGAACAGAAACTAAGAAAAACCCCAAACAAATGCTACTGCCCCCTGTAATATAAAGTCTTAGGTTTTGATGCATCATGGAGAAACACTTGTAACAAGGCAGCAAAGCTGTAAAATGCACAGTCAAAAAGCAGAAAATAACTATGCAAAAAAGCTACTGTCAATTCTGATGCAATAATACATTTTGCTTAACAGCAAAGTAAACATCCAATTTTAATTATGAACAGCAGGTAATACAGATGTAAGTAAAATGTGTAACTAGCATAAGGCTTCAGGCCCATGAGAGTTCAAGTTCACAATTTGAGATTGCATAAATTCAAGGAAAAGTGCTAATTCAATCAAACTGGTTTTCCAATTTGAAATTTGGCAATCCTAAGAAACTGTCTTGTAAAATACAAAATAATGTTTGTATTGGCAGTGCACAAAGTACCGTAGTTTGTTTTTTGTCAATTTTGATGCAATATTACATAATGTTTAACACCATAATTACCACCATTTTTAATTATCTACTATTATAAATAGCACGGACATTTAGAAAATTTGATTAGCATTTGGCTTCGAGTCCATGGGAGTTTCAAGTCCCACAATGTATATGCCAATATGTGAACAATGAAAATTTCACAAAGAACTGCATTGCTTCCAGAAGAGAATGCAATCAGACTGCTTTTCCAACTCAGGCTGCATTTCAGTCCTATGAATCTTTTCAGTAAGTTTGAGAATCATCAGTAACATGGTTTTCCTCAAATGGTAATTACGGCAGCAGTGCCCAAAATAGGTTTTCTTCAATTCTGAACAATATTACATAACGTTTTACAGCATAATGACCATCAATTTTAATAATTAAATATAAGTATCGTGGATATTCAGAAAATGTATCTAGCAAAGTTCTTCAAGCGTATGGAGGCAAGTCACACCCTGAAAATATGTGAAAAATTTAAATTTTACAGAAAAACTGTACAACTTCCAGAAAAATCAATCTGACTGGTTTTCCAGCTGAGGGTATATTTAAGTCCTATATTTCTTTTCTGTAAATTTGAGAATAGTAAGTTACATGGTCTTTCTTTAATAGTCACTATGGAGGCAGTGCCTAATTTAGGGTTTTCTTTAATTTTGATGCAATATTTCATGCTTAACAGCCTAATCACCACCAATCTTTAATAATGTACTGTAGGTAACATGGATATTTAGAAAATGTGATAAGCAAAGGTCTTCAGGCCCATGGGAACTCAAAGTCACACCTTGAAAATGCCAAGATGTAAACAAGAGATAATTGTACTGAAATTAGTTTCCATTTCCATTTTCAACACTTTTTACATAATACAATACATAATACAAACTGACCAATTTACTACAATCTTTATATGATCAACTAAAAAAAATGTTGAGATGGGAAAAATATCTATAGAACTATTTTAGATGTCCGATTTGATCCAATCTGATATTCAAAAGAAAGCGAAGGATTGAATCTGACAAACTGCAGTGATATGAGTTTATTTGCATTTTTGACATAACATGATAAGTGCAACGACAGCCACAGATATAGGTGAAGGTGCAGGCTATATGAAGGTGCAGGCTATATGTGCAGACACTACTGTGTCTGTACATAAAAATACACTAAATGTATTTTAAATCAGTATGATTTACCAATAGTGCATGCATGTGTGATTGAGAGAGAGAGAGAGAGAGAGAGAGAGAGAGAGAGAGAGAGAGAGAGAGAGACTCTTACACTCCATAGATCTTGATCTCAGCAGGGACAGCACTTATGAAGCCAACTAACTTTTTACTCTTGATAACCCTCACACCGCAGTGCCATTCCTTCAGCCAGCCAGGAGGCTGCAGTGCCCTGAATGTTAACATAGGGTATCATTTATCACTACAGACACAATTGTGATCAATAAGCATGAATTAACTGTGGCATAGCCATAATGCCAACATTACATGTGCACATCCTGGTGACCATTATAAATAATGTGCTAACCAAAATACAACTTATAGTACAGTACTGACAAGTTACAATGTTATTTGTAGCCATCCTGATTGAAAATCAACATGCTATAATCAATCAATCAATATTGGGGGTCTGGCTTTCACTAGATGATGGAGGAATCACTCCCTGAGCTATAATACAGGAAAGTCCAGACAATATTTTTTTTATTATGAAGAAAAACAAACAAACAACAAACTCACCATTGTAGAAATTCAGGTGAGTAGTCAAATCTAAACATGTTGTCATCATCTTCAACATAGTTTTCATTGAGCAGAGTGTACAGTTCTTTCAACTGAAAAAAAAAATGAGTTTAAGAGTGAGAGCCATCCAAAACTGAAGGTTTTCTATGTTATCACACACAGTTTTAATTAATGCATCAGCTAAAACAGCAAGTTTTAATTATTAGATAAACTTACAAATAAAGGCCTAGTAATGTATATTGTTAAAAACATTAGCATCAGTCTTAGACCCTATTCCCAGAGATTAGATCGATCTGAATAGATCAACCTAACTCCCTGGGTGTTCACGCTAAATAGCTAAATAGCCTAGTGGGCACAAAAGTTAATTACCCCCTTACAGCTCTTAGTAGGCGTGGCGGACATTTAAGACGATTATCTGACAGTAATCTAGTGAGACTCCCCAGGGGGATAGATCTATCTAAAATCTATGGGAATGCACCCTTAGGCTGTATATCATTAATGTTACATCTGGTGAACACTATTATAAAGCTTAGAGACTTGGCCACCAACTAAAACAACAAAGAAAAAAATAAAAATGTTTGAAATGTGGAAATATAAAAGGATGTTAAAAATATCATAGACAGAACACAATAGTAATGAGGAAGTACAAAACTTAAATAAATAAAAAGGTCATTATTGAACACCATCAAGAAAAAGAAAATTAACTTATTTTGATCATATCATAAGAAAAAATAATTTGCAGCGGTTGTTATTAGAAGGATAATTAAATGGAAAACCAGGGAAAGAATGGACCAATCAAAAATACAGAGAAAGTGTATACCAACGGCATACGATTGCGAGGTGTGGCAATCCATGACAGTCAACCTTCCCAGAGTGGATGACACCCAATGATGATGTATGACTACTGTGCTAGCTTGTAATTAACACTTGAAAAGGACTAGCAATGTCTAATGTATCCCAGGTAAAACTAGCTTGTAATTAACACTTGAAAAGGACTAGCAATGTCTAATGTATCCCAGGTAAAACTAACTGGTAGAAAAAACAATTAAAGGACCAGTAATGTCTAATATAAAACTGGAAAAACTGGTTAGTAAATAAACTTACAATTAAAGGACTAGCAATGTCTAATGTACCCCAGGTAAAACTAGCTTGTAATTAACACTTGAAAAGGACTAGCAATGTCTAATGTATCCCAGGTAAAACTAACTGGTAGAAAAAACAATTAAAGGACTAGTAATGTCTAATATAAAACTGGAAAAACTGGCTAGTAAATAAACTTACAATTAAAGGACTAGTAATGTCTAATATAAAACTGGAAAAACCGGCTAGTAAATAATCTTACAATTAAAGGACTAGCAATGTCTAATGTATCCCAGGTAAAACTAGCTTGTAATTAACACTTGAAAAGGACTAGCAATGTCTAATGTATCCCAGGTAAAACTAACTTGTAATTAACACTTGAAAAGGACTAGCAATGTCTAATGTATCCCAGGTAAAACTAACTGGTAGAAAAAACAATTAAAGGACTAGTAATGTCTAATATAAAACTGGAAAAACTGGCTAGTAAATAAACTTACAATTAAAGGACTAGTAATGTCTAATATAAAACTGGAAAAACTGGCTAGTAAATAAACTTACAATTGAAGGACTAGTAATGTCTAAGGTATCCCAGGTAAAACCAGCTGGTAGAGAGTAACATTCCTGTCGAATTTCTTCCACAGGACGATCCTCTTCTATTGCTCTATTCTCTGTCACTTTGTCACCTAAAAATAATGAAGATAACATCAAATGAACACTCAATATAAATTAACATAGATAGATTATAACTCACATCAAAGTTTTTAAAAATCAATCTAACTTTAAGCTTTTGCACAACCACTTCGATTGAAAAAAATTTACATGAATGCCACATTTTATAGTTTCTTTAAAATTTCACATCACATTCAACCATCTATTAAAACTGGAGCTCAGATGTATGACAAGATAGCAGCAGAGTGAAGATGAGTGTTGCAGGCAGGCAAATGTTAACTATTTCTCTTGTACCACTTACTGTGAAGTTAAAAAATTACTAGAAAAAAAAGGATGTAGTGATGATTTAAAAGATTGTGTCATCAACCACTGTAGAAACCCCCACAGCAGTGGTACCTGACCCAGCAAAACTGCATGAGGTAAAAAATCACACCTCACAACAAAGATTTAAATTCGAAAAACGTGGAAATAAAAAAGATGTGCACACGGGATTATACAAGGATTGGGGTAGAATGCACCAGATTTATGAAAAGATGTCTTCAAACAGTGGCCATCTTGTCTTGAACAACATGAGTTAACTATAAATTTGTTTTTGCTAGGTTGTATTTGGTGTATTCTGGAATTGTAAAATTCCTTTGTACTCTGTGCTCATGTTGGAATAAGTTATCTATTTATCTATCTATGAATTAGAACAAAGCCGTGCATTTTATCCCATTTAAAGAGATGTTAAATTAGCTGATAACTATAACATAACATAAGGCATTCTTCAGTCTGTCCAAGTCTCTTCCACTTCAGAGTAATGTTAACACATCCTTAAAAGAGAAATTATTTGATACCCTCATTTCCCCAATCCTTACATACTGCTCAGAGATATGGGGCTACTCGGTGTCAACGGATAACTGCCCTACAGAAAAGTTGCACTTAAAATTTTGCAAACAAATCCTTGGCCTCCATCAAAACGTATCAAACTATGTTGTATGCACTGAACTTGGCCGCCTTCCCTTCTATACCAAAATACAGTTTGCATCTGTCAAACTATGGTGTAAAATTATTCAAATGTCTGATGCTACACTAATGAAACAAGCGTACATACAAGAGATAAATAGTTACAAGTTGCTGACACCCTATGTCCCACCCGCAGTCCACACACTCAGACCAGCTTGTATGTCATGGTCTGAGGGTATCCGAAAAATCCTTTTCACATTTGGCCTTGGTGATGTGTGGCTTAGCCAGTCACCTCCAAAAAACTTCACCACAATTTTCAAACAAAGACAAACTGACCACTTTACCCAAATATGCAATAGCAAACTTCAAGCCAACAGTAAATTATCTCTTTTCCGTATACTTAACCAAA